TTTTTTTATCCGAGTTTAAACTGATGACTAATTAAATGCTGGAGGTGAACTTTATGATCCTTTAATGGTTTACTAGACATGTTGCTAACAAATAAAAATTCAAAGACCATAAACTATAAAACAATTTTGTCCAAACCAAAGATGCCAAAAATGGGTGTGAATTCCATACTCCCAAAGCAGGAATCAGAAAATAAAGTAAATTCAACTCTCCCTCCATAAGGAAGTAGATAAGTTTCTTTATCATAAGCATGCCAAGTGCATGTTTGTTGTTAAATGAAAAGGGTGGTTATTTTTTTGTCAGAAATTGACAGTGCTTTGTGTTATGAATACCTGCAGGTTCTGCAAGGGAAGATAATTTCTTTTTTAAATCCTCAATGGAGGACATTTTTCATTGATTTTTAGAGAGAGTGCAAGAGAGGGAAAGACAGAGAAACACTGATGTAAGAGAAACACATCGATTGGTTGCCTCCTGCACGAGCCCTGACCGGGGCCTGGGCCTGGAAGGAGCCTGCAAATGAGGTACATGCCATTGACCAGAATTGAACTGAAGACCCTTCAATCTGCAGGCCTATGCTCTATCCAAACCAGCTAGGGCTGGAAGAGAATATTTATTCTACCAAATCTAAAAGTGCTTTAGGACCTATTTTTTAAAGAGTAATTCTAAAAGCAGAGCACTGAATCTGTGATTTTCTGAGTTCAATGTATGTTTAAACAGCTCTTCATATTTTTTCACATTTCAAAAACAATACAAATTCACTTTTGAGAGTCAAGGAAAGAGAATTTGTGCAATATATGGGAATGGTTGCAGGTTGTTTTTGCTGTTGAGCTGCACCATACAATATAATATCTCCATAGGTTCTAAGTCGTGACTTTTACTGGAAACCCAGATAAATCTTTTTTAGAGGAAGGAATAGAAATAGATGTTAGCATTCAATCAAATGAAATAGCTTAGGGTTCTTGAATGTAGAAGAAGAATATATTTTTTTTTAGTTCTTGTTTTGTTGAGGACATAATTTCCTCCTCTCCTATAGTGATAGGTAGCAAACATTTTTCATGGGCTTCCATTTCTGTGCATTGTACACCTTCTATTCTCAATGATACAGAGTTGAGAATAAGAGAGTAGAAGGCAAGCAGAGACATTCCAAGCATCCATAAGTCAATAGCTTTCACCTGCCTCCGAAGCTAACCTTTACCCACCTCTACCAGAACATGTACATAGGCCATTCATGCACTGAATCTGGGACATGATTATGAAAATATACTATGCACTTTTTACTTCACCCATTGTTCTAATTTATCTTCACACTCAATATGTCCAAATGCATTCCCACTTGTCATTGCCCATCAAGCTTATTTCTATTTCTATTTTAAATACCTGAAATCTAGAAAGATAATTCTCTAGTCTTCCTGATTAGAAGTCCAAGTCATCCTTGATCACTCTCTTTCTCTCTAAACCTAACATGTATTCCAACAATTAACCCTATCAATTTTACTTCAATCACAATCCAATCTGACTCCTAACTCATTACTACTCACCTAGTTTAGATCAAAATCGGATTTAATTTAGAATGCTTGCATCAATCTACAGAACAATCACAGGCAGTTCTGAGTTGCCAAGCTGACAAAGCAAGACACGTAGCCAGGCAATTACTGTGACAACTAGCAAAATGCAGAGCATTTAATTGCATGGGCCCTACTGATGAAACTGTAGGGTCAGAAGTGCCTTGCTGTCAGAGGAATTTATGAAGACCATGGCCCTCAAATGTGTTTCTTTCTAGTAAATCTTATGTATTTTTTCCTCTTCATATAACTTTTTTAAGGAAAACCTCATGTGTCTCCTAAAGTAACATCCTGAATTGATTCAGAAAAAGCACTATTTTATATTATACTATAGTTTTCATTTATAAATCAATATACCTTTCTCTTCCTAGAATCTGTTCAATTTTACATTTTAAAATGATGAAACGGGGTATGAAAATGTATTCTTAATGTTTAGCTGTAAAGTATTTAGTCCACAAAAAAGCTTGGCTCTCAGTCCTATAACCAATAAGTTAAAAGAAGAATTTAAAAGTTATAATATGGTACACTTACAGTTCCGAATCTGAATCTCTTTTTGCCTTGGGGAGATATTTACACTTCTAAAATATATGGTTACAATTTAAGATTCTCCAAAGGAGATAAATGATATCACCAGTAACTCAGTTCAATCAGAACTTCATAAATAAGGTAACAAAAATCATTAAGCTCATGCTAGGCTTTATCATGGGACATTCTAAGAAAACTGACTGGTCCTATTTTGGTTCAAGTTTTAAGGTAATTGAGAGTTAACACAGGAACCTCTTTTTCTTTCACCCATGATCACTGAGAACCTTTCCAAAATGTCATTACCCTCCTTTGTGGAATACTTCTACTGTAAGGCAACCTTCTCCACTCACAAGTGAAAAACTCAAAAAACAGTCTCAGTGTCTACGTTATAAAATCTGAGTATGTTGATTTTGATACTATAAAATTTTAAATAATTTAAAAAATTAATATCTCAAATTAACTTAATCCCATTCAATTCTTTTATACTAATATGCCATGACTAGTAAATTTATCTAACTTAGCATCAAAAAAAGTATTAAACATATTATTGCTCACAATTTTCTTATTTTCAGAAAAAATAATCTTCTCTTTTTCCCTGTAGTTAGCATACTAATAAAAAGTACCAGGGCTGATATTTATAGATATACCAGGAATTGAAATGGAGCAATAGGATACAGCTTGGTGAAACTCTAGGTATGACAGATGGAGCAAACAGGATGACAGTCATAGTGTCTAATCGGGTCTCCAGTCCTCCAATGTGATTCCACAACATGTGGGCTATGCTTTTTTTAAATATATTTTTATTGATTTCAGAGAGGTAGGGATAGAAACATCAGTGATGAGAGAGAATCATTGATCAGCTAGCTGCCTCCTGCATGCCCCCTACTGGGGATAGAGCCTGCAATCCGGGCATGTGCCCTTGACCAGAATCGAACCCAGGACCCATCAGTCTGCAGGCAGACGCTCTATTCACTGAGCCAAACCAGTTAGGGCTGGGCTATGCTTTTTTAAAAAGATATTTAACAGTTGTCTCAAAAGAAATATTAGATGTGATTAATATATAACAACCAAAACTACAGATAGTATCCTACTATCTATCCTTTGACATAACCAGTCTTCTGATTTAGAATTACATTTTTAAAACATGAAAATATGAGAATTAACAGTAATGCATTCACGTGAAGACAATCAACTATTCAACTTTATCAAAATTTGTAACATGTAAATCTTTTGCACAAAATAATGAATACTAATAAATTAATAACAAAAACAATATCCAGCCTTGATTAAGCACCTGTTATTATTGAGGACTATATCCAGCAATTTGCATTTATCATTTCTAATAGTTATTACAATTGTGCAATGTATTTTAACTCTATTCACAGATAAAGGAACTCAGAAAGGTATTAATCTAAAGTAAACAGAACAACTTGATGTTGTAGACCTACTAATTTCACTGTCTAACTATGATGTCTTCTCTTTCTGTTATATGGCAAAGACCCTCTAGGACAGGCTCACATTTCTCAGTACTACATCTATTAATGCAAATCTTTTGTTTCAAATCAGAAATTTTTTGAAAAAATTTCAGGTCATATTCATTTTACACTTATTTTAAACTTTACGAGTCAATGAGACTAGCATATTAAAGGAAGCCAGTGACATCTGAAAATCAACATAATAACTAGGTTAACAACTCAATATAGAATATAGATAATAGCTCAGTTAAGATTATTTATATCCTTGAAATCTCCCTAGGGAAATTTCCATTACCTTTAATTCAGAAAGTTGGCCTGGCAAAAGTAAATATAGACTTTTTGAGATTTGGTTTAAAACATAGATTCCCAATTTTCCTTTCTTCCCCATACAGGAAACTTTTATACCCAATTTTATACCCAAGAATATCTCTCTAATGCCAAGTTACTTTCAGATTTCATTAAAACAAACAAAAATAGAAAATCTTCTTGTGCCTTAATTTTGATTTTAGTGCTCCAGACTATTTTGAAATAAAATTCAACAAAAGCATTCAACTCAGTGTCTCCTCCACATGTAACAAGTTTTAGAAAACAGACCTTCAAGTCAAATAGCATACTTATTTTCAAATATAGCAATCACACTACTCTTAAAACACAATACAACTCTTTGATATGTCAATATAACTATTATAAATGTTTTAAGTGATATTAATAAAGCATAATTTAGACACTTCTAGAAAACACAAATATTTTCAAATTTTAATATAAGCTACAAAAATTACAGTTTTAATGTGAAACTTTTAAAATAAATAATAAGTAACAAACATATTGGGGATACAAAAATTGCACTGAAATAAAACAATGCCTATAACATATATTCCTATATGCATTTTTATTTTTAAACAATTTTTAAGGATTTTTATTGATTTTTAGAGAGAGGAAGGGAGAAGATGAGAGAGAGAGAAAAAAAACATCAATGTCAGAGGAAAACATCAATCAGTTGCTTCCTACATGCCCCCAACCAGGGATGGAGCCCACAACCTGGGCATGTGCCCTGACCAGGAATCGAACCAGCAACCTTTAGGTGCACAGGACGATGCCCAACCAACTGAGCCACACTGGCCAGGGCACTATATTCATTTCAAAAAATGAAAACCATATTTCATGTTTTATAAATACAGGGGTAGGCAAAAGGAGGTTTAGAGCTGTGAGTAGGCAAAACACAAGGGTTTATTCTTGTATTATTTATTGTATTATTTTCATACAAACAACCATAAACCTACTTTTGCCTGTATAAACCCCTGTATAAACCTCTTTTGCTGCCTCCACATTATACAAGAGCACATGACAATCACATTCTCTTAATTGATAAGAGAATAAGAGAATCGTTTTCATCATTTCTTAACATTACAGATAATATTAAGCCTTGTCAGAGATGCCTACCTCTGTAGAAGTCTTTGGACATGTCTATGGGAGCCCGTTCTACTGCTGATCTCTTGTAGACAACATGAATCCTTCCCTTTTCTTCCTCCATCTGCTTACCTCTTTCCAAGGGTTCAATGAAATACTCATCATCATGACTTTTTATCATTCCAGCCTAGAGAAAGCATAAAATGTATTAATTTCTTAAAGAAATATCTACCCCCTTTACCTCATGAGTACCTTTTCTAAATTGTAAGAATTTAATTTGTGAAAACTAATGCTTTTTCTTTCCACTTTTGGCTATAAATTTAAAATTGTTTAAGGCATTATGAGATATCAGTAATTCATATGAGGTATAAATTCATGTATGACAGGACTAAAAAATTCATTTAAGATAGAATAAGAACTTTAAATGCGGTAAGAATAAGAAAATTATACAGTGTATACATTTCGTCAAACTGCAAAAGAAGTGCATTTATATATTCTACTTGGTATTTTATCTCTAAAAGAAATCTTATGGAGCAAGTAAACTCCTGAAACATTTCTAGTTTCCTGTAACAACTCAGTGTGGCCCTTCTGTACATACATGTTACCCTTTTTTTAAACTCATTTACATCTCACTTCCATACTACTATGCTATGAGAGGATTAAGTCCCATAGTGCACTCAGTACATAAACTTATTTCTGCCTTTAATTAGCCTTTTTACACTTCATTGAAAACTCCAAGTTTCTACTTTTATTAAATTGAAAAACTAACACATATTTGTTCTATCTTAATCTAACATCATGATTTTATATATATTATTTTCCTTCTCAAGTTTCATCCTTCACACTGAAAAGATTATTCTTACATTTAATTCTTCCCCCCTCTTTTTTTAGTGTCTCTTTCTGTTTCATCTTCTTTAGAAAATGAATGTTTATTTAGAAAACCTCAGGACTATATTCAGAATTATAGAAGAGAAATGATGGTTTTGTTTGAAATTTGTTCTTAAGTATCAAGTCTACATTACAGTCAAATAGTTACATTTATCTAGTTTAAAGGTCATATATTAATATGTATATTAATTTAAATTTCAGTATATTTATTTGAAAACAATGTTGAAAAAATAACGTTAGTGTGGAAATTGTAATTATTTCAAAAAATATATCAGATCGAAAAGTTAGTCATATTTTTCTTCTCAGGCCCTTAACTTATTCTATATTTTCACAGGTCACTGGCCTTTATGGAACATGATCGGGGAGAGGAATTTCTCATCCTTTCTAATTCATGTTGGTCTAATGTCTCTACAATTCTGGTATCAAGCAACACAGAAAGGAAAGGTAGGCACACCTTACCAAATAGCATTTGTTCTCAGTAAATACAGCTCTGACTGTAGCTTTTCTCCCGCATTCAAATCTGTACCTCACTCCTTTCCATTTGGACTTCTACCACCAACTACATACATGCTAAGCCTCACAGGGAGGTCTTACCAACCATAATGTCTCCAGATGCCAATTCTACACCCACCTAGATGCTGTACATATATAAACAGCCCTTGAATCTATGGGGCAATATCTTATAAGGAAACATCATCAGAGTCCTTTCACCACACTTAGCCTCTACGATCTTAAAGAAACTCTGGCTGTAACTAAAAAGAACATTGACCTGAAGACTATTATGCTAAGTGAAATAAGCCAGCTTAGAGAAAGACAAATAGCACATGATCTCACTTATATGTGGAATCTAATGAACAAAATAAACTAACAAACAAAATAGGCCCAGAGGTATGGATGCATGGATCTTCTATTTCCACTGCCACTGTCTTAGTTACAGACCTCATTATTGCTCATTTGGATGACAGAAACTACCTCCTATCTTGAGACTCCCATAGATCATAATGATTCTCCCAGTGAATGCCTAACTCTGGATGGAAACAGTGGTCACTGAAGCATTCAGCAACTCTGAGCAAAGAGCAATGGCTATTGGGGACACTTGAAAGTGATGGGGAGGGTAGTGAGGATTAGTCCACATGCCTCTGACATTTCTCCAGACCTTCTATTGCAAATATTCAAATCCCAAGCACCATAGTGTTACTTTCCCCTCTAGACCGTAGGTAGAACGAAATTAACAGCTAAAGCTCTCCCTTAGAAGGCAATTAAAATTTAAGCCAGATTGAGGTAATATTGTTGGCATGACAAGAGCTGGGTCATGTGACCTCCAATAATTCTATACAGAAAATCTGAGAGCCTATCCTTGTATTCATAATTATATTAATTTCTTTAAAAAGTTAATTTTAAAAAGTACTGAACTACACACCATGATAAATAAAAAATTCTCAAAGACATGGTTTATTTGCCCTCCAACTGAGGGCATTCTAGTCAAATAAATAAAATATATGCCTAAAGGTATTCAATGAGATATGCTATGGAAAGTCCAGAAAGTGAGTGATATGGCAGTTGAGAGTCAAATTAAGTGGGTGTTTTTTACGCTCAATCTTACTGCACAGCAAACTATCAGTAGGAGCTGTTGATTTTACATCCAAGATTATCTAAAATCTGTTTTAACTGAAATCTCGCTAGTCTTCATCACAATGGGTCTTCACTTGGGCCGTTGCTATTGTTCACACTGTCTCACATTTTCACAAAGCTCAGCAGCCAAAACTGTTCTTTCAAAACATCATATTAATTTTAGATAAACTAGAATGTGGTAACACATGGGCTGAGCATGTACGAACAGCTCAAAAATCAGGTACTTCTTTCTTGCTCACATGAAAGTTCAGGACAGTTCTATGCAAGCTGACAGGAGGTTTGGTTCCACACAGACATGCAGGTGCCCAGGCTGATGGTGCTCTGCCATTTCTATACGGCTCCCAAGTCTGCCCAGTCAGAAGGGAAAACAGCAGGAGGAAGCCCACATGGGAGGGTGTTAGGAGCTAGCCTTAGTCCGGTATTCACCACTACCACTTACTTCCATGGGTCGAATGCACAGCCAACAGCCAAGAGAGGCAGGAAATGGGATCTGGCTGTGTGCCCAGGGAGAAAAGACAACTGGATTTTGATGAACAGATGGCAGTCTCAACCTCAAATAAAATCATGTTACTCTTTTGTCTACAACACTTCAATTGCTTCTCATTGCACATTGCACTTAAAACCACACTCCCTACCACAGCTTTCAAGGCCTGCATCAACTAGCCCTGCCTAACAGCCTCAAGCACTCAACTGCTAAGACTCCAGAATTAAGCCAAATAGCTTCTAAGCATGGAAGGAGCTATCACAAAAGCCACACTCCTTTCTCACCTCACTATTGCCCCAGAATGAGGGGCCTTTGTTCAGTTTAGGTTTTCCTTAGATGTTCTCAAGCTCTTTATAGCTTCAGGCCTTTGAAAGTCTGTTGATTCTGTCTACAACTCCCTTCTCTCACCATGCCACATTTCCCTTAGCTATTTGTTTTTCCTCTCCAGGTCTCAGCTTACTTCCCTAAAAGTGATTTTCTGACTCTCTTCCCACATAGACTAGGTGACCCCAAATAAATTAGGGCCCATCTTAGCCAATCATTCTGACTCAGAAACAGTGTGTTCTTTCTTCTCAACGCAAATTCCAGGTTGTTCTACCTGAATGCCAAATTTATTGTTCTGTCTCCCAAGGCACTGTCAGTTCTTGAGGCAGACTTGTTTATCTTAATTCACCTTTGTCTCCTTAACCACCATCACAATGGCTGGCACAAAGTATATTTTCAATACGTTTTTTTATGAAAAATTACATGAATGAATGGTATAGTGAGGGGATAAAGAATTTTTAGGGACGTGGTGATCTTGAAAAGGTGGGAGGATTGTCATGCTGGTGGTGTGACATAAGGCATTAGAAGTGAGACAGCTCAGACTTGAGCAAAGGATATGAAGTGCAAAAGCCCAAGACATGCTTGAGGACAGTGAGTATCCTATTCACTCAGAGAACTGCAGGGCAGTTCTGGGAAACAAGGGTATGGAGAACTTATATTACCTCAACCTACTATATAGGAAAGTCTTAAAATCTGAACTCCTGACCGTGGCCTACAAAGCCCTACATGGCCTGGCCTTCTCTATCTTTTGGGCTTCCAATGTTTTATACCTTGCTCTTTCTGCACCAACCACATGGGCCCTAGTCCCAAAGTACTACCCCCCTCTACATGAATTAGTTTCCCCTTCACTCTTATGCCCAGGTTGCAGGCTAGATCCTCAGTAGGGGGCATGCAGGAGGCAGCCGATCAATGATTCTTATCAGTTATGTTTCTACTTCTATCTCCCTCTCCTTTCCTCTCTGAAATTAATATATATATATATATATATATATATATATATATATATATATGTAATTTAAGAAAACATTTCATTAATTTCCCTCTATGATACAAAGCCCTGCACATTGACCATTCTCTCATTCCAGGAACCAAATGGAAAATATTTACTGTATTTCTCAAATTGTTCTCCAAAATTTAAGACACATTTTTAGAATATTTATCTTTAATAGAGCATTACACATATATTAAACTTATCTTTTAGTTAAGTCTTCACACAGGTCCTCAGACAGCATTTCAGAGGGGATTTTAGAAAACAATGATCTATGCCAGAAATCCAGCTGCATAATTCTGGTCAACTCTTCCAGCTCCGTCACTTAACCCAAACACGGCCAAGAATCCAGAATGAAGCCAAATAGCCTCTGAGCATGGAAACAGCAATCACAAAGGCCACACTCCCTACTCACTAAGAGGGGTCTTCAAGCCATATTTGATACCCAATGCTATAAACCAGGTTAGAGGGTTTCCTAATCTTCGTCAGAGTGTAAGTGGAAGAGGAAAGTAAGGAGTGTGGAGCACAGGGAGTTTCAGATGAGATCATGTCTATGAGCGCCCTTATAAACGTCAAAGCCCTGCAACAAATATAAAATCCTAGTCTTTATAGGATGGTAATAATAAACATCAGTCACTAAGAAAAGACTAAACTGTGTTTGACTTGGTTTAAAATGAAAATCTGTAGAAAGTCATTTTAAAAGGAGTTCCAACAAGAATTACTAAGATTTTCTTGAAAATTCTGTGCCAGATATTCTAAAAAAAATGTATGCTTTGGAGACATTCCATTTATAATTGTGACACCCAAAATTATTTTACTGCAGTGATTCTCAAATCATTAAGGCATGAGAGCAGAGCGAGGTAGCTTATTT